TGGACCTAGGTTTTCTTCCACTGTATGGACATATCATCATTATGACATATGCAATATAAACATATGTTGCTAAACAGAGATTGTTTCTCTTAGTTAGGGACATTAAGTTTGACGAAATCATTTAGTTGCTATTTCACATCTCATAGTATTTCCCTTTACTTATAAAAGAAAAACATATCTCATGGTAGATAAAAATATATATATTTTCCTTGATGACAGTGTCATTATCACGTCTATATTTATTATTAACTTCACATAAACTTCTAAATGGATCACAAGTAGCTAACAGCTAGTGTATGTAAAGGTGGAGAAATGGGTTGATCCAACAAGTGGCCAATCAACAGGGAGGATTCAGCGTCCAGATTCACTACTGAGAGCTGTGGAGAACTTGCGAAATGAGTGTAAGGTAGATGCAGTTGCGGTTGTGGCACGCTTTCCAGACGATGATACCAAAGACTTGGATGATTATCGACAAGGAGTGGTATTAATTTTTTCTGACTAGCTTCTCATTTCATTTGCAAATGTAATCCTCAATAGTATCTATTCAGAATTTCTAGATACAAAATGGTCACAATTCATGAGCTCCTCGTAGACAAATATCATTCCTTTTCTTCTCATATCTATAGACAAATATCATTCCTTTTAGGTCTCCATAATTTTGCCATAATGTATGTCTGTGAAATCATCTAAATAGAAGGTGTAATATTTGAGTTTTGTATAAACATCAGTTTGAATTACTTTCTTCCATTGTTTGCTTGCTGGTTGTGCTGTTTAACTTTTAACTGCTTGTAAAAGAGGAAATTCATTGTATTGTTTAATACGTAAAATCTTGATCTCAATTTTATTTTTGTACGCTTAATTCTACAGGGAATAGATCTTTTGGCAGGTGTGGAAGCTGTTATAAGTCACTTAGTGGTGAAGAATTTTCAGATTCCTTGCGCACATGCTCCTGCAGTATTGCCTCCTCAATTAAACATGGCAGTGTGCCCAAAATCAGCTGCTGAAGAGGTAAGTGATTGTCCCGTCAATCTTATAATATTTAAGCTCACACCATTTGTGCTGTTTAACTTCATTTGTTTTCCATTAAAGACTGGGTACTTATGTGGAATAGCCAGGACATAACTCGTCTGCGACTTGGTTTCCTACATGAGGATAGTGCAGGGGAGTTTTTCTTTTTAGTTTCTTCATAGGCGAGTTCTTTAGTTATCGTAAAATGGAAACATGATCATTTTAGCCATGTAAATGTTCTCTTGCAGTAGATATTCACTCTCAAGAGGAGCGTAAATAGTTTATAAGATTTTAAAAGCATGATTTTGAAATGCTTTCTTCTGCATTTACAGTGAGTAAGAGGGAGATATGACTTCGTTCAGAAAACCATGAAGATGTATAATCTGCTAATGCTGCATCCTTTTAAGCATCTTTTGCATTCTCATGATATCTTCTTTTTTTTTTTTGTTTTTTTTCCTTCTCTACCTCAATCTTCTGACAGATAGGATTTACATTCTTGCCGTGTGTCCTTGCTGGGCTTAGCACTGCACCACAGTATTTGGTCAAGGCCAATAATTATTCAGACAACTGCATTGTAGCTGGTGACGTTGACAGTGTGATTCTACCAATTGATGCTTGTTGTGGAGATGGTGCTCTTGCATTTGCCAATCGTAAAAGAAACAAGGTAATTGGCTCTTTATCTATCGACATCAACTGGGTGAGTTTAGTGTTTGCTAGACTTCGAGTTAGGCCTTCGACAGCTGACTCTGTTGATTAAATCAGAATCACCCCAATCCCTTATTCCTTCCAACGGTTGGATAGAAAGAAAAGAAAGCGCCTCATCCTTTTCATATTTACGAGTATTCCCAAACCCAGCTTACACTACTTGTCTCTTCTTCCTTTGTCATGAAAGTGATACCATATGGTTGCCTAAACTTCCTCTAATACTACTATTGTTAGAATATGGCTTGCAACTACAAATCTTGTCATGCTTCCCAAATTAGTCATTTGGGAGGGAGCGTTTTTTCGATAGCCAGTCAAACATCTTCTGCTTTCTCGACATTAATCCCATTTTTCCTATTTGCTCATATTTTGCAGCCTCTTATAATTGCTGTTGAAGAGAATCAAACAGTTCTGAATGATACACCGGACTCACTTGGTATTGAAGCTGTAAGTTCAAATGTTAACTGCAAATACCTTATTTATTGTCTATTTGTTCTATTAGCAACCTGCAACTAAACATGAAGTGTCTATGCATGTTTCATATTCATTAGAGAGCTTTAACTTGTAGCATGTACACTGTGCAACGATTATTTACCTGCGCCATGCATAGTATCAATAATCTTGATTTTGATATGAAATGAGCTTAAAATAAAGAAGCGCTATTCATATAGCCGACCCCATTTTGTTTGTGATTGAGGTGTAGTAGTTGATTGATTAAGAGGTTGTTTGGTTTTGGAACAAGGTTATCCAGAGTCTTAAGTTGCTTACACTCTCTAAAAAAGCTGCCGCAACCATGTCAGATCCTCCAAAAATGTAGTACTCTTGGAGGTCCCAACACGCACCCTGCGACATTTTTGAAGAGTCCGGACTGATATATTCCAGACAAAACCAAGATTTTGGTGATATTAGCTAATGCCAATAACCAATCACTGTTTACATGTAACCCAAAAGTTGTGTTGAGAGAGGTACTGACAGATTGTAAAAGGGAAATACGAGTACTAAACTGTGACACCCCAGATTAAGATTAGAAGTCCTACATCGGCAAAACGCATGAGGTATCTATGTAAGTAGACCTTACAACTAGTGACAAGTTTTAAAGTCGTGCAAGCCTAGGCCTAGAACGGACAATATCACTAGCGGGCTGGGTTGTAGCACAAAATTCAAGTGTCCTAAGGTGTCTATAAAGTCGTGCGGGCCTAGGACAAAAGCGGACAATATCACTAGCGCGCCTCCCCCTTTCCCCCCCTAAAAGAATGTTCATTCCTTTCTTATACAAATAGAACCTATGCTTGTCTGGACACTATCATATTGGTGTATGACTTGTTTATTTTGCAGGTGAAGGTGTCAAACTACTGGGAAGCAATAGGTGTAATTGCAGCTCACAAGGCAGGAATAGATCCAAATTCTCTTAGAAGGAATAGAATCAACAACATAACACCAACTACTTTTGTTCCTTCAAATGGTTATGCTAAATCAAGTATCAAATCATTTGTTTGAAATATAGAAAACTATAGTATATACATTCATCATATTGTAAGGACTAATTTGATTTGTATAGTGCAATAGTAAAGGCTAAACGGAAACATGGTCCGTGAGGATTCATATATTCGACCCCAACAACTAACTAGTTGGGGACTGAGGTGTAGTTGTAATATAACGGAAAGAGGTTTATATTCTTCGTTTATTTTCTCTCTTACCTTATGTGTTATAATACAATATGTTCAAATTTTGATTTCTTTAACATCGAGTTTGAATTCTGAATACGAATCTCGATTACAAATATAACATAGAACAATAGAAAATAATTAAATATCAAATGTATCAATAGTCCACTTCTTTTTTGTTTTGAATATCAATATTGGAACAAATTACTTCTTGCACCTACTTCATTTGACCAATTAAATAAAAACAAATAATTAAACAAATGGATAATAGAATTTTTCTACTCTTAATTCATCATGCTAGTTTGCAAGATTTGGATCTAAGATCTTAATTATTTTTCATTTTTAAATTACTTGATAAGTCAACACTCAAAATTTTATGATACATATTTACATGATATAATAATATCAAATTTATTAACAAATATTTATTGTTTTAATTTATCTGATATATTTTCTTTTTAAATCAACTTAAAAAGAAAAACACAGTTTTAAATTTGAAAATAATTAAGTTTTTAACCCTATTTTTCCTGTCACATAAATAATTGGAAGGGAAAATTGTATATAATAGCAAACTAATAACCTAAAATAAATGAAATAGCTACGGTTTGATTTAATTGTGTTCCATAGCAAACGTTAGCTAAAATTTGCCAGCGTCTCTCTCCCAGAAATCTCGCTCGCCACTCTCCATTCTCGCTCGCCTCTCTCGCTTTATACACAGAAGTGTATAATTCTGTTTCTGTTTGTATAAAGCGAGAGAAAATTATATATACACATGCAAAAATATATTTTTTCGTGTTATACACTTAATTATACAATTTACAAACATTTTACTTCAAGTATTGCAAAGAAAAAGGTCAACGAATTATACAATTGCGAATTATACAATTGCAGTGAAATACAATTTTCTCTAGCTTTATACAACAGAAGTGTATATATTGTGTTTCTGTTTTTGTATAAAGCGAAAGAAAAACATATATCTTCTTGCTATACACTTAATATTGCAGCGAAATAGATAGTGAATTATACAATTGTGCATTATACAATTGCAGTGAAATATGATAGCGAATTATACAATTGCAGCGAAATAGGCCAGCGAATTATACAATTTAGGCCAACGAATTATACACTTGTATATGTATAGCGAATTATACAGTTTTATGTTTGCTATGGAGCGCAATTATGCAAAGTTTGCTATAGCATATAAATATGAATTTTTTGTTTGCTATATGTGAAAGTTGCCCTAATTGGAATGTAATGAGTAGGTTTAAGTCCTATCACATAGTCAACAAATTCAATGATATGAAATCTTTATTCTCTTTAATTTTGTTCCAAAATCTGCTAATATTTTATCTTTTTCTGATCTCATTTATTAATTTCACTAACTATAATATTATTATTGTTGTCCAAAAACATAATAATCTCATTTATAAATCTAAAAATTGTTTTTTTTTTATATGACATCAAATTTATAGATAATAATTTTCATGTCCTTTTTTAAAGTTTGGTAATAATGAGTTTTATAATTTTTACAATTAAATAAACGTTTGGCTAAAATTAGCCATCTTTTCTCACTGACTATTCAAGAACACATGAAAGAAATTTATTTTTATAAAAAAAATTTTAAAAATATTTGATTTCCATTTTTTCAGTTCACAAAGATTACAGATCACACTTGTTTACATTATTGTATTAATACACTCCTTAATCCTCCACGATCTTTAGATCACACAGCATCAAGACAAAATTTTTAATTTTAAAAATAAATAAATTCAAGAAACCTTTTGACTTTCTACCAAAATCATGAAATTGAGATCAATACAGAGATACCCTTTTGAGTTTTGGTGTTTATGATGGAGAAAAAAGCAATCTTGGTGTTTTTGGTGCTGACATTGAGTTTAATAAGTGGTCAAGAACCAGAAAAGATTGATACCCAAAAGGCACCATGGAGGATCCACACTTTGTTTTCTGTGGAATGTCAGAATTACTTCGATTGGCAAACGGTTGGACTTATGCATAGTTATAGGAAGGCTCAGCAACCTGGACCTATTACAAGATTGTTGAGCTGTACTGAAGATGAGAGAAAGGGGTATAGAGGGATGGAGCTGGCTCCTACTTTTGAGGTTCCTTCTATGAGTAGACATCCTAAAACTGGTGACTGGTAAATTCTTGAGCTTTGATTATTTGTGGGGTTTTTGAGTTTTTTGTTTTGTGGATGCATGTGGTGTGGATAGTGAAATGCTGAATTGGGTTCTTGATTGTTGTGATTTTGATGGTTTTTGAGGTATAAAGAAGATGAAAGATTGATACTTTTTGTGTTGTTTTGTGGATGCATGAGTTCTTGATAGTAAAATGCTGAATTGGGTTTTTGATTCTTGTGATTATGATGGATTTGAGCTATTTGTAAGATGAAAAATTGATACTTTGTGGATGCATGAGTTGTTGATGATGAAATGCTCAATTGGGTTTTTGGTTCTTGTGATTTTGAGGGCTTTGGGCTATTAAGAAGATAGAAAGTTGATACTTTTAGGTTTTTTGGGGGGATGCATGAGTTTTTGATGATAAAATGATGAATTGTGTCCTCAATTCTTGTGATTTTGATGGCTTTGAGCAATTAAGATTGAGAAAAAAGATGATTTTTTGTTTTGTTTTTTTCCAAGAGGGTCAGCTTTGCCTAGTGTGTTTGGTGATAAAAGTGCTGGATTGGGTTTTGATTCTTGTGACTTTGATGGCTTTGAGCTGTTAAGATGATAAACGGATGATATCAACTGAGATATCAGCTCCATTTACGTTTGTGTGATTGCTACCATTTATTGGTTTTTGCGTTAAATTCTATGTATGTATTCAATGCTGCATTGAGTTTCTGATTGTTGTGGATTTGGGCTTCAAATAATTTAGAATACAGCACATCGAGTTATGATGTTTTTCCCAATGAGGAAGATCAGCTTTGCTTAGTGTTGTATGATTGCCAGCTTTATTTGGTTTTTGCCTTCGATTTTATATGTTTATTGCTTGAACTGGTTTTTTTTGTTCTTGTGACTTTGATAGCTTTAAACCATTATGAATATGAAGAAATGCAATCATGTTCTTTTTCTCGGAAGAAGGTTCAACTTTGTCTAGTGTATGCCACCTTTATTTTATTTTTTCCTTCACTTTTCTGTGTTGACCTCAATGTTGACTTGGGTTTTCTACTCTTATGGCTTTTGTCTCTGAACGGTTGAGAATATGAAGAAATGAATTTATGTTGTTTTTTCAGCAAAGGTATCATCTTTGTCTGTGTTTGTGTCTTTACAACCTTAATTTGGATTTTGCCCTCAATTTTACATGTTTGATTCAATGCTGACCTTGATGGCTTTAAACATTTTAAAATGCGGATAGGTAAAAATATGTTGTTTTCGACGAAGATATCAGAACGGACTTATAAAATGTTGTGTGATTGAGTCTTCTTTGTTTTTCTTCTACTTTGGATATGCAATTGTGTATAGAAATTAGTGTTGATTGCTGTTACGGTGGTTAATATCAAGAATTTAATGATATAAAAAGTCCAAGGGCGATTGAGATATCACGATAACAGAAAGATTGGATTTCGTCCCGATTATTAATTTTGAGTTGGATATCCTTGAGTTCTATGTTCACTGCTCCAGTATTGATGATTGATAAAGAGAAAATTTGGTCAATTGACATTTGTTTTACTTGGAGAAAGAGATAGGAAGAATACTTAGTAATTGCATTACCATTTGTTTGCTCAATGTGTCACTCTCTTTCACTGTCTTGCTAACTGCTTTGATTGTTCGCTTCTATCCTTGTTGGTTTCATGGGTCAGTTCTTCTCCTCTACTTTACTTCTGTAGAATTTTGCGATATTCTCATTTTCTTCCAGTTGAAGATGTTATTCGTTATTTGAGTTGAACATATTCAACTATAGAATTAGTCTTATATTTGCACAAAGACCATCGGTGGATCCATCCTTGGCAACACAAATCATTTTGCCAGAGTTTTATTCACAACATTTCAACCTGTTTTTCCTTCCTAGAAAAAAAAATGCAATTTATGTTTTTTCTTGATATCTTTGTTTATTTTTATGTTATAGTCTTCCTCTTATGTGATTTGGTTCAACTTGTGTTGTTTAAAAGCAACAGTAAAAGCTTGTAATGCCGATCATAGAAGATAATACTGTTATTTGTTCTGCAGGTATCCTGCAATTAACAAACCGGCTGGAGTTGTTCACTGGCTTAAATACAGCAAAGAGGCAGAAAATGTTGATTGGGTTGTCATACTGGACGCAGACATGATCATTCGAGGTCCAATCGTGCCATGGGAGATTGGGGCAGAGAAAGGGAAGCCTGTTTCTGCGTATTATGGGTAAAACCAAATTCTCTTTTTGCCCATTTTAAGTTTCACTATTTTGGTAAGATCTTGATGTGGAAGAAAAAGTATTTTCTTGATGGTAACAGAGATAGTTTGCAATCATGTCTTACAAATATGTAACTTAATGGTTACTTTAACAGTATATGTCCAGAAAACATCTATAGTTCTCAAAATATGTCGAGAAAACATCTTTTAGGCACTGAATGTAAAGATCTAAATAACCGAAGAACTAGAAAAGTAATAACCCCTTGAACTTTCTCTATAGATTCGTATCAGCTCATCACCTATTATTGCACTTGGCATGTGAAAGCAAACTCCTGATTCAAGAAAAAGCCATAAACATCAAAGAATTATAAGTGCACGTAGGAGATGTTTGTATGAAGACTATTTTTGGTGTTTTCTTGACAACCTGCAGCATCCCTTTTCAAAATTTCATAATCCTTAATTATATAATCCTCTTTGTCAGATTGATTGCTTATCGTAATACCCGCCGCTACCCTCTGTTGTTGAAGGCTCGTTGATTCTAAAGAGTTTATTTTACAATTAGGTATTTAATTGGATGCGACAATATTCTTGCAAAGCTGCATACAAAGCATCCTGAATTTTGTGACAAGGTTGGTGGGCTATTAGCCATGCATATAGATGATCTTCGAGCTTTGGCACCCCTATGGCTTTCAAAGACTGAAGAAGTACGGGAAGACAGAGCTCACTGGCCAACCAATTATACTGGTGATATCTACGGAACAGGGTGGATCAGTGAGATGTATGGATATTCATTTGGTGCTGCCGAGGCAAGTTGTTTCATTGGCTGATCTTTTATTTTGCAGATATCTGTTGCTGCTTTTTTAATGGTTTATTAAGATTATATATATATCCTTTCTGTTTGATTTATCAGGTAGGACTCCGGCATAAGATCAATGATAACTTGATGATATACCCTGGCTATACTCCACGAGAGGGTGTTGAACCTATTCTTATGCATTATGGGTTACCTTTTAATGTTGGAAACTGGTCATTCAGTAAACTAGACCATCATGAAGACGACATTGTCTATGATTGCAGCCGTCTCTTCCCTGAACCTCCATATCCTCGAGAGGTAAAATTTTATGTGCACCATTAAAATTAATAAATTTAGTCTATGCATATTATAAATTTATTTTTGCTTTTTACCAGCATGGCTTCCATTTTGTGAATTACTCAGCTGAATATGCTCTGAAGGAAACAATTCAATGTCAATTGATACTAAAACTTGTTAAATGACAAATCCATATATACAGCAAGTGCAGGTGGTTGGGGTGAGCAATCTTGTTGCCTTCTATGGGTGATGCTTCGACCACCACATCACCTTTGTTTGTTCCAATGTGTTTAAAAAAGTAAGATTGATGAAGTAAATTAGGCTGACTTGAGCTGATATAAGCTATGCTATCTGTTAAATCTTTCATAAACTAAGATACTTACCGTCTTCGATTTCTTATTAGTCATTTGCAGGTTGAGTCTATTTTTTTGTCTTCGTCATTTGATTTATACTAGTAAAAGTAAACTTTCGTAGTACTTAAATAAGTATAAGCAACTTCAGAGGTACTCGTCAAAAAACAAACCTCAGTGTGTCAAATTTGCTGATTTCTGATACAATTAGAGCAGTGCATTTTAAATCAGTTCTTTCTATCAAATTCATGGCCCTTTAGAAAGTCAATGAGCAAGCAAGTTAATGCTAAGCTGGCTCACTTATGTGGTGAACTATGACCACTTCCTCATAGACATAATAGTACGAGTTTTAAAAGCTGGAGTTCTAAACACTTGACCAGCTGAAAAGTTTCCGTGTCGGGGCTTTTGAAATATGAATCTCGTGATCTAGGTTTCATAGTTTTATGAGGTTAATGTGTTTACTTCATTGAGCGGTCATCCATGCGTTGTAATGATTCCTTATGCAGTTTGTCACTAGGAGTTATTTGGATCATTCGTTCTGTGAGATAACTTGCATTTTTTTTTCTTGTGACGTTAATTAGAATCTCTGAGATTTTTTGCTTCTTGCAGATAACACAGATGGAATCTGATCATAACAAAAGGAGGGCACTGTTTCTGAATATTGAGTGCATTAATACCATGAATGAGGGCCTTTTATTACAGCATGCTGCCTTTAAATGCCCTAAGCCAAAGTGGTCAAAGTATCTTAGTTTCCTAAAGAGTAAAACATTCGCTGAACTAAGTCGGCCAAAACATTTGACTCCCCAAAGTCGACAGATGATGGAGATTGAAATTCATGAAGAAGTTAATAAGGAGCCCGAAAAGCCACCCCCAAAAATTGAGGTTAAAATTCATAAAGAAGTTGTTAATGAGCCTGAAAAGCCACACCCGAAAATCCACACCATTTTCTCTACAGAATGCTCATCTTACTTTGATTGGCAAACAGTGGGGCTTGTGCACAGTTTTTACAAGAGTGGTCAGCCAGGGAACATCACAAGGCTTCTAAGCTGTACCGATGAAGATTTAAAGCAATACAAAGGCCATGATCTAGCTCCCACCCACTATGTACCGTCCATGAGCCGACATCCATTAACAGGAGATTGGTAATCTATTATTTCCTAGTTTTTCTTTCTTGTCAATACATACGGCCTTTTGATCAAAGACATCTTTCCACATTCTGCGATTTTTTAAAAGGAAATGAAATAGAGTAGACCTCCACTGGAAGGAGCATATAAAATATCAAATGAAACGTTTGTCACTCACCTCCATTATCTCTCCCCCATCTTAATAAAATAAGAAAAACTAAGCCCTAAGGTCAATGTGGAAATTTTTGACGTCAAGCTGGATCTAGTTTTTGCTTATTTCAGGTATCCAGCTATCAATAAGCCAGCTGCAGTTCTTCATTGGATGAATCATGTGAAGACAGATGCTGAATACATTGTAATTCTTGATGCCGATATGATCATGAGAGGACCAATAACACCATGGGAATTCAATGCAGGCCGCAGTCGACCTGCTTCAACTCCTTATGAGTAAGGGTTACAAGTTTGTGATCTTTATTTTCCTTCTGTTGGAGGATTGCTTGGTTCATTAAAACTTTTTATATTTGTTTTGACGAATCAGTTTGTGCCTAATATTCTTGCACGAGTTCACATTGCACAGATTTTTACCAGTTACTACTTTTGTTCATATTCTGAATCAGCTACCTTATCGGCTGTGACAACATACTGGCAAAGCTCCACACTCGCCATCCTGAAGCTTGTGACAAGGTTGGGGGCGTAATCATTATGCATGTAGATGATCTACGGAAATTTGCGCTGCAGTGGCTGCACAAAACCATGGAAGTCCGGCTTGATAGATCTCATTGGTCCAAGAACATAACAGGAGATATCTATGAATCTGGATGGATTAGTGAGATGTATGGTTACTCATTTGGTGCTGCAGAGGTACTTTTCTACGCTTGTTACAAAAATATAGTTCTTTTAATCAGTTTATATAATGAAATGTTGTTATAACGAGGTTTGACTGTAGCTACCGAGTGCTGTACTCTTTAATCAGCAATCTGTTTAATCTGAATTTTAATGTGTTGCAGTTGAATCTGCGACATGTCATAAGTGACGAGATTCTGATATACCCAGGATATGTTCCTAAGCCTGGTGTTAATTATAGAGTCTTCCACTATGGCTTGGAATATAGGGTTGGTAAGTGGAGTTTTGACAAAGCAAACTGGAGACACACCGACTTGGTTAACAAATGTTGGGCTAAGTTTCCTGATCCTCCTGATCCATCATCACTTGATCAAACTGACAACAATTCCCTACAGCGCGACTTGCTTAGCGTAGAATGTGCAACAACGTTGAATGAAGCTCTTCGGTTGCACCACGAGAGGAGAAAATGCCCAGATCCTAACACTATTTCCACACCCAAACATGACAGAGTAAATCAGGACAGAGTCGATGAAACTAGAACCAATGCTGAAACTAGAAGAGCCAGTGCTGAAACTAGAACCAATGCTGAAACTAGAACCAGTGCTGAAAGTAGAACCAATGCTGATACTAAAACCGATGCTGAAACTAGAACCAATTCTGAAACTAGAGCCGATGATGAAATTAGAACCAATGCTGAAGCTAGAATGGCCGTTGAAACTACAACTTCAACGAAGTTTGGAGGCGTTGACGAAGTTCAGGCCTTTAGGCACGATGAAATGCCCAAAAATAGTTCTCAGGAATCCTCCCAAGTTGAAACGTCAAACGGAACATTCACTTCCATGAGATTTTGGATCATGGTTTTGTGGGGTGTTTCAATCTTCGGCTTCTTAGGTGTCATGTCCGTCATGCTTAAAGGGCGTAAGGGATTGAAAAAGAGAGGTAAAGGTTACAAGTCCAAGAGAAGAACTACATATTCCGGTTTCTGGGATACAAATGGACAGGACAGACATCTACGCAACGCTGAAACAGCATAGAAATCTCTCTTCTTGGCACAACTGTCAAAGTTCTTTGCACATCAAACATGGTCATTGGCGCCAAGGTCCCTGTAAGTTCATTATTTAAGCATAGAACGAAAAAAAAAAACGTTTCTTTTAATCGAGTTAGTATATAGTTCTATGCTGCTGGATGGAATAGAAGATGTTTTTCTATGTTCTGTTTGATTAAATCAATTTCACATGAAGCTGTTAGTCTACAATTTGCCTAAATAGGACTATGGCTAGGGGAAAAAAAACATAATGTTAGTACAAGTTCAGAAATAGAGTAAAAAGAAGTTAGTAAAGTTGTTTTTTTTGTTTAAAATAATTACAATTTTTTATTTTTGTATTGTAATTTTCTGCTGGTGTAAGTTTCATAAGTATAATAAGTTTTCATTTCAAGTTTGTGTTGTTTCACAAGTAAAATGAGTGTTATCATAGTAGTTATAAGCGGACCTTTCTGTAACAGTCATCTTCTATATAACAAGTATTTCATTATAATGGTTTAATTTATTTTTTTTATCGATTTTTCATGTTAGATTACATGTTCTTGATAACAATATTTTATTATATTATTAAATTGAAATCAAATTTTGCCATTCTCTTATTTTTCATCGAATAAAGATATCTTTTATTTTATTTTTTTTCATAATAAAAAAATGTGTTGAGACTAATTGGTGGGCCTGCGCTTCACGTGAAAGATGGGTGGAGGGAAGTAAGAAGAAATAAACAAAAAGTAAATATCTCAAAGTATTGAACCATATTTTTGAGAATGTCGTTGCAATCGTGTTAGGTCCTCCAAAATTTACGATATTTAGAGGATTAGACATGTACGTGTCGTTTAAACTATATAATTTGTATCGTTTAAACTATATAATTTAGACATATTTCACAAATATACTATTATTATTTATACTTTCAAAATATTACATATCTACCATTAATAATAGTTTCAGTTCATATAGTGAAGAAGAGATACCTAGATATATGTCTTTTTGCTATACACTAAAATAGAGTGAGATACACTAAACTAGAGTGAGAGACAATTGAGATTTGTTATGCATCTCAGATACATGCGATCGCACTAGATATACATGTATCTGGTAATGATCCGATGTATATGAGATATCAATTACATAAGAGAATGGCGAGCGAGATGGGGTAGAGGCAAGCACGATATTTGTTATGTATCCCAAATATACGTAGATTCACTCAGATACAATGCAAATGCATCTATAACTAATTACACCTAATTTTAACCCAATATATTTTAAGATAACATGTATATGAACGTTTTGAATGCATCAACATTCGATAAGATTTATAGTATCGCATTGTATAATGTATTTAAGTGATTAACTCCTACGTGAATCTCCTAATATTAAAGAATCCGTGCAACATAGTAAAATAATGAATTAACTACTTAAAATTAGGTTATCAATATAAAAGAAACATAGATTGTCACTCTACACTCTAAAATAAAAAAAAATTAGTCCAAATTTGAGATCGATGATATAATATAAACTCACAAAAGACAAAAATTGTAACTACGGATGTAACCAACTGATCAAATTTTTGTATATATAAATCATTAATGGAAGTTAAAATTTGCATATTTTTTCTTGTTCTATTTTTTCTTTTTGAAGATGAAATAAGTAGTTAGCAAAATGTCCAATAGAAATTTTTGTACGATATATAGAGAACTAAATAGAGAAGGATTCAGAAGTCGATTTAGATTTTAAATTTATGTACGCCTTAACAAATTATAATTCTTTTCGTTTATTATGTTCGGAAGATATAATTTTTTTTAAAAAAACTAACGTTTAAATCAAAAGTATTGTATTTTGGTGAATCGATAACTTCAACTAATTTATGGCTTCCACACTTGTAAGATAACGAGCCATTTGGAACCTTATTATATCAACATTTTTTAGTTATTTATTTATTTAACATCTAATAGTATATTTAGTTTTTTTTTTTAAAAAAACATCCCATACTTAATAATACGAAACATAATGGATATGTTTTGCACATTAATTTAAAGTCACAATATTTTATATCTTTTTTATACTAAAATTTATATTCTAACAAAATCAAGCCAAATAAAATAAAACGATTCAAATATATATCGATGAAATTTGATAGATACATGGAAAGTCATAAATCGTAAGGGGCCACTTCACGTGAAGAGGCTTTAAACATATTTTGTTTAGATCAACATTAAAACAAAATATTACGACTATACATATATTTTGGGTGGCATTAATATTTGAAAAATTTATGTGACACAATAAGTCAATGTCCTATATTTATTCAAAATGGTGATAGTTTTAAATATATAACATATAAGAATAATTTAAAAATTATATATAGATATATTTATTATCCCTATCGGTAAAGTTAGATTAAATATTATATAAAATACAAATATACTTAAATTAAGTATTTGAATACAATATATTTCCCTATTTTTATACATGCAAACACAATATATTTCGCTATAGAAATATTATATATGCATAAATATAAAGTATTTCACTATATTTTAAAATTTACTACGGTTCGTAATTCAACAATTACAACTATTTAACAAAAAAAAAGTTTTTATTTTTTATTTTTGTAGTATTAGCACTCATTTATTTTAGTCTATGTATTCCAAATGCTATTTTAGTTATATATAGATAATTCATTTTAGTAAGGGGTCAATTCATAATAATATTGAGATTTTTATTTTAAAAATAAAATATTTAAATTATAAAAAAATATTTTTTCTTTTTCTAGTACTTGTCCCACATGTGAAATATCATTGGCTTATCAAGAATCTTCCCACGTGACAACATCGTCAAAATGAAATCGAATGACACGATATATTTAAAACTTTTATGAAATATAGAGAGTTATATTTAATAATGTTATACATATACTAATTTAAAATATCATAATTTGTTTTTATTTTAAAAAACAAGGGAAAGAAAATTGAAAGTAGAGCTAGAAAGGGAAAACGAGAAATATTACTATTGTTTATATATGGTTAAATTTTTATTTTATGTATATATGATAGATGTTAAATTTTTTCCGGTTAGTTCGTGTGTTTACTTCTTCAATTTTTAAATCTCCTCGTGAAAAATTCTAGCTCCACTATTGCGAGAAAGAGAGAATTATAAGATGAGAATCAATAATCGAACTCACAATAATACAAAGAAGGTTCAGGTTCAGACTTCAGATAGCCAATCGATTGAGTAGATAAAATTTAATATTCGACTAAAAATCACGACAGATGAAATAAAACGTAAAATCTAAAATTGGATTGATATAGAGTTATCGAACTATGAGGGGCCACTTCACGTGAAGGGGCTTTTTAACGTTTTTTTGCACATTAAAAACAAACATGGCACTGTGCTAGATGATAGTTACATTCTTATGTAATTTCATATTCTGATATTGATTGATCTGATTGATAAAATAAAATTTAGTATTAAAAACTATAAAAGTTAAAAATTATAATCTTATATAATTACTACTTAATTATAACCTAATCATATACAGTAATTAATACCACAAATCAACTAACAATGTGGTGATTCCACTAAGGTCTTTCGAGATGATTAAGACCTAGTTATTTATAATCGCAAGTGTATATTTACTATATTTTGCTTTTCAAAAGTCAAATAAATTAAAACAATAATTATATCCGCCTAAAGGCTAAAAGTTTACTTGAATGATGAATTAAAAAAAAATTAAAGTTATTATGGCATAGAAAATGGTTGTAATATATATGATTGGAGTCAAAATATTCGCTAAGAGAATTTAAAATAACAAATAATAGATATACTATACAAAGCATTAAAGATACAATATCGTATATCATATTATATATATAATATAATATTTTAACGAAGAAATTCGATTATACCCTTAGATTTACCCTTGTTAACACATACATTATATACATTAAAGTTCTTGTTGAATAATGTTGGTGATCACACATACATAAACCTACCACATTCAAAAGCAACAGATACCTGTAATTGCTAGTTATGCTAGTGAAAGATAATATATTTGAATGGGAAAAATGTATAAGTATTCTTCTAGATTATATATATAATCGAATTTTCAGAGACACATCTTAACTAAACTAAGGTTCTATTATCCGCTTGAGCTTATTTGTTTTGTAATTTTGTACACCTTTTGTCTTACGTGACATACTCCATCACTCCACGCAATTGAGGCGCATGAGAGATATTTGGGTACCACATAAGCCAAAAAGGTGTACAAAATTACAAAAAAAAATAAGTTCAGGGGGCAATAGGACCTTAGTTTATATAGTTGATGTGTGTCACTGAAATTTTGATCATAATCTAAGAGGATACTTGTGCATTTTTCTTATTTGATACAATAATCGAAGTGTGCGTAAATTGATTTTTCGAGCTATGATCATTAAAAACAAATAAAGGTAACCCAACCCTAACAAGCCCTACACACCAACAAAACTATTCCTAGTATTTTCCAAATTATGGAATTGGGAAAGTTGGGAATTATCACACCTTGCATGCATGCAAAGACCAAACCACCAGTCAACACTTTTTTTATTATTTGTTATTATAAAAGCACACTCTATTCACTTCCAAAATTCAACCACCCAATCTCTTTTTTCATTCTCCACATTCAAATCTTTTTCTAGTATATATCTTCTTCACATAGTCACCATCCAATAAAATATTAAACTATAGAATATAAAAATATCAAATATCTAGAATTATGAGAAAGCCTTGTTGTGATAACAAAGAAGAAATGCATAAAGGAGCTTGGTCTAAACAAGAAGATCAAAAACTCATTGATTATATCACTAAACATGGTGAAGGTTGCTGGAGAAATTTACCTAAAGCTGCTGGTAATTATACATATACGTCACACTCTTTATTTATTTAGATGTCGAGGTAAGATAAGTCCCTGAAAAGTCTAGGGTTTGCACCCAAGTACTCCATCTCGATTGACATTTTGCTCTCGAGGGAGTGGGGTCCTAGAGCGAACTACTCATTGTTGTCATGTTGCCCTAGAAGGGTGCACTTTTAATTTGGTAGGATCAAAAACATTGTATTGAGGGAGAGAAAGCGCGTGATTTTTTCATTGAAAAAAAAATCGATTATGTAAGTTCAATTGAACCTATCGGTTTCTATTTGAACTATGCATGTACATGCAAAATAAATTGAGATGTATGTATAGGGTATGAATTTATCTATATACTGACTTAAAATTCTGAATTCGTCGTTGATTATAGGCCTGCTTCGTTGTGGAAAAAGTTGTAGGCTAAGATGGATGAATTATCTTAATCCAAATCTAAAAAGAGGAAATTTTTCTGAGGATGAAGATGATCTAATCATCAAGCTTCATGCTCTCCTTGGCAATAGGTAACTTTTCCATTATTTGTCCCTTAAAAGGAATACAAATTCTAGATTTAATTTGCTTTGAAAAATATAAACAATTAACAAATATGGGAATTA